CACTTTGGTTCCCGAACTTTCGCTTTCTTTCATTTTGGTCCTTTTCCCCTCATTTCTTCCAACTTATGCCATATCCATCGAATTGCCACCTAAACCAAAATATGAGAATACTAAGTACATTTAGGCATAAAATAGTCATATGAGCGCATTAAATAAAGATGTAAAATGTGTATTTTACATTCCTATCACCTACACTACGAGCACGGTCGAAGTGCATGTAATCAGCTCGATGCCCCCAACACAATTCTTGAAGATGTTGAGCTCAACAATAATGTATAACATTGACATATTCCACATTATAGTAGGGCGTGCTTGACACTAGAACACATGAAGATTTTTATAATGGTGAAGTAAGAGATTTAGTGTTAAAGTTGTACGTCCAATTAATTGGGTAGATGATTACTGTGCGGTGTCCTTACTCTAATGTTTAACGGTCTTTGTTGCTACTTCTTTCATAGTTATTATTGTATAAGCACTAAATAGAAATGTGTGGTAGATACGGGACTGTTCCTCCTACCCATGAATTTGACAAGTATTTTTGATAAATAATCGTGACATTTAATTTAATTCAATCCAACGCTCAAAATTTATCAATTAAAATACTATAGAATTCTTAAACTTACTTCCAAACACCCCTAATTACATTATATTAATCCCTAAAATCTCTCAACAACATCGTGATTTTCTATCATCTTATTCCATTCTCAATCACCACCCAAATTCATAATCTCTCTGGCGAAATTGAATCTCCAAACCATCACTGCTTGGAATAATTCCTTTGCCTGTGTGTAAATTTTAGGAGGAGTCCCATTGGCATGTCAAATTATTTATTTAGGAGAAAGCAAAATAAGAACTGAATTTTTTATGTATGATTCTGTACGCATACAACCGTTCTTCAACAGAAATCTGACACGGGTTTTCAATTTTGCTATTTCGATCCTTCTGCATGGTTTTAAAACTGCATTATATCATGTTCTTGAATCTAATTTTTCTCTAATATTAAAATTATGAGAGATTTTTTATTTTCTAAATCTGAATTTCAATTATAAAACCCTATAATTTCTAATTCTCATCAAGTTAATCATGCTTCATTGAGAGTTATAATCATCCATTTTTATTCCAATATTTTGAAAATTTTGACTTGAGAGGATTACGCATTCATTAAAAATTAATTTTTTGAATTCTTGACAACTCCCGTGTGGGATAAGGAAGTTGCTTGTAATATGACAGATTTTGAAAGACAATTTGATTTCTATTTATGATTTGTATGTGAGATGTGAAGCAAGCCCTGAAAGCAATCAAATATCTAGTGACTTGAATTCTTCAAGTGAGGTTTCTTCTACAAAAGAAAATCTCACTTCAAGTGTGTCTCTTTCTCAGGTTTCTAGGTTTAAGAGATCAAAGTAGCAAAATATTTAATTAAATTGAAAAATGATGTGAATAGATACTTGTTAGATGATTGTTAAGATATCAAAGATGATGCTTTTGACGTTCTTAATTGGTGGAAAGTTGATGGAAACAAATATGGTACATTGTCAAAACTTGCAAGAGATGTAATGATGATTCAAGTGTCTACGGTGACTTCAGAAAACGCTTTCAACATCGGAGGAAGAATTCTCGATTCATTTCGTAGTTCTTTAACTCCTCAAATGGTGGAAGTTTTGGTGTGTACACAAAATTGAATTAAAGAGTCTACAAGCATTGAGAAAATCTATATGGAAGATGTGGAGGAATATAATAAGTTTGATGAAGGTAATATAGTTATTCCCTGATTATGTTAAATATGTATTTTATCAAATTTATTTCCAATTTAATCATTATTTTTTTGTAGAGTTTTTGGAATCAGATAAATCAAATGAAGGTTAAATCAATATGATTAGTTCATTTTTTGAATTTTTGATGTAGATATGTATTCTAATATGCATAATTCTTTATTAATGTAATATTTATCTTTCTCTCTAAGTATTTCTATTATTTTTATAGTGGAAATGGTGCTTAAAGCATATGCGATAACTTGAAAGTTGTAACATTTGAACTTATTATTTGTTGGAAAATGCTCCTCTGCCAGGCCTGTAAAAGGCCTGGCAGAGCTGAGCTCTCACATGAGGAGGACCCACCTCATTAAACCCCCTCCCCCCAAATGTTAAACACCCACCCCACATCTCACATTTTGTTCTGCCAGACATTTTACAGGCTTGGCAAAGTAGCACAATTCTTATTTGTTTTATGAAACTTTTGATTTTGGATTACCGTAATATTTTTAATTATTAGATAACTGTAATATTTAAATTTTATTTTCATGTTTGATGGCTATTTTGATTTTGTTTAGTTTAATTAGTGTGTTTTTAATTTAATTAAATTATCTTGTTTCGATTAAATTTTTTACAATATCACGATTTATGAAAATGAGAAACTATCATCAACATGAAGAAAAAAAATATTAAACTCTTTCTGATTTTATTTTAGGCAAATAAGGATTCATTTGACAGTTTAAATTTTTTTTTTTTTATTGCTGACCCGGCTCCAACCGTCTCGGGTCGGGCAGGTCGGTTCCATGTGAATGACCGGACCGGTTCGGTTTAGAAAATAGCCCGATCCGACCCGTTGCCCACCCCTAAACTTTATAGTTTTGCAAAACACCGATTCTGAGTCAGAATTTCTGACGGGGTCCAAGCTCCAAACCAAAGAATGGCACTCTCCAACCCGTCTCTCTTATCTTCTTCTTGCTCTGTTTACAGACTCAATCCACTGCTCTTTCCTTACGAACGCCGTCGTTGCATCACTTTTTCCCACTCGCATTTCGTCCGTCTCTCGCGCAGGTTCTTCTCTGCTACTGGTAAGTAGGCAACCTTGTGTAAAACTCCAAAAGGACAATTCAAATGGTTATCTTTTATCGCTGAATATTTTGAACGTTACTGTAATCTCAGTGGCTGCAGCTAATAGTAGTGTATTCACTTCGCCAGAAGTAGCAAAGTCGTTTGATTTTGCAGCTGAAGAACGGATTTATAAATGGTAATTTCATTTTAGGAAGCCAGTTTCGTATTCATTTTAAATTGATTCTTTTTGTTTATGAGCGAATTTCTGACAACGCCATAGCATGCGAATTCAGATAGTAAAATCTTCAAAGAGCAATGTAGCATATTAAATTTTGTGGTTTCGCAAGATATGATCAAATATGGGTTTAATCTTTGACCATGCTACCAACAGTGCTTTAGTCTAGCATTCTAATTTACACAGGCAAAAATGGTTCTTCCATGTGAAAATTTCAGGCCTCTGTTTATTATTTTTGAATATGATGTTTTAACGAGCGAATACTATGGATGGATGTTAGGTGGGAATCTCAAGGGTATTTCAAGCCAAACTATGATGCAGGAAGTGATCCATTTGTAATTTCAATGCCACCGCCTAATGTTACAGGTTCATTGCATATGGGGCATGCTATGTTTGTAACTCTTGAGGTTGGAAAATATTGCTGTTTCTTAACTCATCATCATCATTATTATTTTTTAAGTTGAAACTTTTTTTGTCTTTTTTGCAACTTTATATATAGCCTCTGCTAATCTCTTTTTCATAGATTACGATTTTAAATCCATCTCAGGGTTGTAAGACATATGTCCATTATGTTTTTGAGTCTCTTTTATGAAAATATATACTTTCATGAAAACTGAAGTCATGTAATGTTTTAAATTCTCCGTATGCATTATATAAATAAAGGTTAATAGGTCTCTGGGATTAGTTTGTAGAAGACAAACTACGTATCCTTATCGTAAAGCAACGAAGAAAACTTTATATCCAATAAAATCTTAGTTCTGTCACGCAAATCTTTTTTCATGAACTCTCAATGAATTAATATTTTGTAATCGCAGTAACCATCAGTATACCTCTTCCCCTTCTAATCTGTTCTAATAGAACTGCACAATCACTTTAAATGAGAGCTTCTTTAGATTTGCACAGTATATGCTCCAAACATTCTGGCTTTCATTCTTTAAAATTGAACCACTCATTTCTTACTTTATGCACTCTAGTATGGCTACACATCTATGCAAGTATCCTCATTTCTGCAATGCTTATTTATCCTCAATTCACTCAACAATCAGTGAAATTTGATAGTTTAATCCCTCACCTTCTAGGTTCAGATACTTCTGGAATAGTTAAAATTTTTATCTTCAATAGTTTTTGCCCTTGTTTGGGCTCCATTTTAATGAAGTTTTGGGAAAAAATTATTTTGGAATAGTAATGTTTTTGGAGAATGTGTGGTTTAAAGAGAAGGAAAATTTTTGGGTTTACGTGTAATAGTGTTTTACTGAAGAATGTGTGGTTGGAAGGAAAAAAAAGAAAAATGTATTAAAATTAAAATGGAGTCCAAACTGGGGCTTTGATAGATCTAAAACACCCACACTTTACCTTCCATTAAATAATTTATCAAATAAATACTAATCTTTTTGTGATCTCATCACTATAAACAGAGCCCTTTCAAAGGAGATGGAAGTTTTTCCATGGTTCTTTTGTGGAGAAAACTTATAGAATGTGTACCTTTTCTTGTCTGCCTAGTTATGAATGGTTCGGTCTGACTTTTTTGTTAGATTGATTCCTTTTCTCTTAAGTCATCGTTCTAATTACGAATTCAAATCAGGGATTAATTGCAACTAAAAGGAATTTAAATCAAGAGGGAATAATATTAGCAGAAGTTGAATAGTGTATAGAATTTTCAATAGTGATAATATCGCTGTTGTTTAAATTCTGTGGTTTACATTTGCAGGATATTATGGTGAGATACCATCGTATGAAGGGAAGACCAACACTTTGGCTTCCTGGAACAGATCATGCTGGTATTGCTACCCAGGTTTTTCTAGTTCTGAAAACTTGTAGTTATTGTATGTCTTGAAACTGGTATATTATAGATAGTAATAACTTCTAGTCAAACTAGTAGAAAATAATCAATGGATCTTGATGAAATTCCAAAATTATCCCCAACTTTATTTGCTGATTCTTGTATTATTTCTTTAATCTATTTTCGGAATTGTGTTAGTGTTTTTCTTTCATTAGATATTGTTTACTCAAATTTCTTGTGTGGTTATAGATTTAACTCTAAATTTGGCACATGAAACCGAATGATATTACTTAATCATGTAATTTGATTGCCTTTATAACATGTATGGTGAAGGACTGATTTGCAAATTACGGTTTTTGGTTTTTTAGGAGGATCCCACTTTTATGTAAAACAATTGCAGGGTCTTGTGTTTTTGAACCACAATCCTTGATGCTTTTGCCTCCTTTTAAATGCTTATTGTTTATATTATATTTGTGAGACATGTGATTTATTCTTTTCACTAGCTTTTGCTTGTTATGTTTGGAAGAGCCTATTATTTATTAATTTTTTGTCTGATCTGAACTTGTCTTTCTCTCAGCTGGTTGTGGAAAGAATGCTCGGGGTGGAAGGAATAAAAAGGGTTGATTTGGGTAGAGAAGAATTTACAAAGAGAGTTTGGGAATGGAAAGAGAAGTATATTTATTCATTTTGCTCCTTCCTCACACTTTTATGCATTTTTCTCTACTATTTACCTCATCCATGCCTCAAATTTTTGACTCTTGTCCCATTTTCTGGCCATTAGCTATGAATTTTATGCAAGACATCTAGCAAGTATCTTTTTGAATCACGTGAAGTGGTTCTTCTATTTGAAAGTATGGTGCAAATTAATTGATTGTTATTCCATCTGATATGATTGCTGTTAATGAAAGTTTTTTAAGAACATGTTAAAAATGCTTAGAATTAAATACCAAATATCAGTTTAGAATAAAGAGAAAAAGTCGCAGGCTGAAGAGAGGTAAAGTAGTTCAAATTAAGTACCATAATGGAAATCAAAAAAATGTTGTTATCATAGAAGAACCGGTTATTGTCTTCAAATTTCTTGATTCCTTCGAGAGAGGAGGGGTATTATAATGGAAAACTAATTTGGTAAAAAATGGTGCCCCTTTTCTCGAATCTCCATCCAATATCTTTTTATTTTTTGTGAATGGATGCTTATTCAGCCTATTATTTTCAGGTATGGGGGAACCATTACAAATCAAATCAGGAGACTTGGTGCTTCTTGTGATTGGACCCGAGAACATTTTACCCTAGATGCTCAGCTGAGTCGTAAGACAGTTTTTTTTCCATTAAATCTTCTAACATCTATGAGTGCTGTATAATATTCAAGATTATGTGGAAAATATCAGTGCCTGCTATATTTCATAATATTGTGTCAAGTTTGTCAAGTTATCTAGTTTTTATAATTTCTGTTGGGGGGTTGAGTTGAAATATATATTAATCTTTGTTAGGGACCAACTTGTAGTCTTTGTTAATTGTTAGGGACTATAGTGCAATTTCTCTTTTCTTTTCTTTTCATCCTGTATATACTTGTAATATTCTACCTATCAATATAGAACAGTTTTTTACCTCCTAAATTACGACTTGGTATCAGAGCTCTTCAGGTCACCCGAATCCTAGTCGCCCTTATTCTGGCGCCGATTGGGCTCGATTCCGTTTTTTCCCGGTCACCCAGAAGCCGGCGAGTTTCCGATTGCAGTGGGTAACCGCGACCGGCTTTCTTCCTCCATCCGAAGCATTGTACAGAACCCGTTTTCCTCAGCTGCGTGCGCTGGCGACGTCTTCCAGTATCCGGCGCCCTCCCGGTGTTTGTTCTCGGGTTCGATCCAATTGCAGATTGGGTCGTTCAGCTGGATACGACTTGGAGTTGGGTCGTTCAGCTGGCGTTTCATTTTTCTGGAGATTCGTATGTTCTCTCCTATTTCATTAGAGGTTCTGTTGGTTTGTTGGGTTTTTTGCTGCTATCTAGGGTTTCAATTTCTTCCCGAATAGAACGTACAATTATCTGGAAAAAGCTTTTTCCCCCAACCAACACGATGTCGCGTTCGAATAAAATTGTGACAGACGAACTGGCTGCTGCTGGGAACAGGCTTCTTCAGCCTCTGGATTCTCTTGATGAACTCCTGCCTTTGCTTGACCAAATTGAGGTTAATCTCTCGAAAGTGGAGCAGTCACCTTCCAGAACCATGCAAACTGCTCTTTCTTGACCAATGAAGGCATTGGTTGCGGATGAGTTTTTGAAGCATTCAGATATTGATGTGAAAGTTGCAGTAGCTTCTTGCATAAATGAAATAACCAGAATTACTGCACCAGAAGCTCCATATGATGATGAGAAAATGAAGGATATTTTTCAATTGATTGTATCATCATTTGAGCATTTATATGACAAATCCAGTAGATCTTATGCTAAGAGGGCCGTGATACTGGAAACTGTTTCCAAAGTAAGGTCATGTGTCATCATGTTGGATTTAGAATGTGATAAAATGATAATTGAGATGTTGCAACATTTCTTTACAACCATAAGAGATTATCATCCAGAAAGTATATTCTCTTCCATGGAGTCCATTATGACTCTCATATTAGAAGAAAGTGAAGATATTTCTCTAGAACTGTTTACCGTTCTTTTGACCAGTGTGAAAAGGAACAGTGAGGAGCTCCTGCCAGTTGCAATGAAATTGGGGGAGAGAGTATTTGAGAAGTTTGCGGTCAAACTTAAACCTTACCTCACACGAACTGTAAAATCTTTGGGGATTTCTTTGGAAGACTATAGTGAGGTTGCTACTTCTACTCAAGGTGCATTTACATCTACTGTTTCCCAGGTCACTCGATCATCTTCTGGGAAAAGTACTTTTGGGTTGCAATCTACTTCTACTGCATCTGATTTCTGGGTTATTGATTCTGGAGCTACCGATCATTTTACCCGTAATCCCTCTACATTTGATTCCTTGACAACTCCACCTGTTCAATCTGTTCAAGTGGCTAATGGGACTCCGGTCAAAGTTACCAGGGCCGGAAGCGTATCGTTTTCACCTACTTTCTCTCTCTCATCCGTTTTACTTGCACCCACTTTTTCCACTAATCTCTTATCTATCAGTAAAATTACAAAGAATCTTGATTGTTCTGTCATTTTCTCACCTTCTAATTGTGTATTTCAGGACAATCGAACAAAGATGACGATTGGCACTGGTAGAGAGAGAGGAGGGTTGTATTTTTTGGAGGAAACAAGACGTTTGCAAACTGAAGATACCCATGGTCTCCAAGTTGTTAGTAAATCATCTCCAAGAGATAGGATCCTTTTGTGGCATTGTCGATTAGACCATCCTTCATTTATATACTTAGAGCACTTGTTCCCAAAGCTATTTGAAAATATTCCTAGTTCTAGTATGCGGTGTGAACAATGTATTTTTGCAAAAAATCATCATGTACCTTTCAAAGTGAGTTTTAATAAAAGTCCTGTTCCTTTTACTTGTATTCATACTGATGTTTGGGGGTCTTTCTCTACTCCATCTGCTACAGGTCATAAATATTTTGTCTCTTTCATTGATGATTGTACCAGAGTTTCTTGGATATATTTGTTAAAATCTAAAGGTGAAGTCGTTCATGTTATTCCAAAATTCTTTAAAATGATTGGGACACAATTCCATACACGGGTTAAAGTTATTCATTTCAACAATGGTCGTGCGTTTGTAAACCAAACACTTAGCAACTTCTTTTCGACTCACGGCATTCTTCATCAAACTACTTGTGCTTACACACCTCAACAAAACGGCATCGCAGAGCGAAAAAATCGACACATTCTTGAAGTAGCTCGAGTTTTATGTTTTACTATGCGTGTTCCAAAACGGTTTTGGGCTGAGGCGGTGACAACTGCTGTCTTTCTCATAAATCGCATGCCTACTCGCATTATTGACTTTCAAACTCTCTTAAAAATATTGTCCAAGTTTCACTCTATTCCCTCTGTTTTAAACATCTGTCCCAAAATTTTTGGTTGTGTGTGTTATGTCCACGTGCATTCTCATTTCAGAGATAAATTTGATCCTCGTGCCCTGAAATGTGTCTTTCTTGGCTACTCTAGCTCCCAGAAGGGCTACAAATGTTTTCATCCCCCTACAGGAAAATACTATGTTTCTATGGACGTAGAATTCTGCGAGTCAGAATCCTTTTTTCCCGATGATGTTTCGTTAGTTCCTCTTCAGGGGGAGATTAGTAGTAAGGAAGAGGAACGAGTGTGGTTAGAGGAAAAGAAAATGTGGACTTCTGGAAAAGAGGGGAAATCCCAAGTTGAATCCCAAAATGAAGATCGAGTTGGGGGTGATAGATCACCTCGTTTGTTCCAAAAATGTTATACAAGGAAAAATTTAGACAATGCTTGCACTCCTGTATTATCCCCTTCAAACCCTTCAAACCCTCTGGTCGATTCTATAGTGCCATCGGATTCTTCGGAGATTGAAAATGAGGTACCTAATCTGCTTACCCCTTCTACTCCTATCCCTGTTTCTGATTCTAATCCTGCTACTTTAGATATGGTTGATACTCAGGATAGGAGATATCCTCTACGAGTCCACAATAAGCCTGATAGGTTTGGTTTTTCGAAATCTTCTTCCAATGCTATATTTCCCATCTCTGATTATATCTCGTATCACCGTTTATCTAAGACTCATTTGACGTTTGCCCTCCAACTATCTTCTGTGTCTATTCCTAATTACTTTCAGGAAGCTCTTGATCAATCTAAGTGGAAATCAGCTATGGTAGAAGAAATGAATGCTCTCCAAAAGAACTCTACTTGGGAGATGGTCTTATTACCACCAGGGAAAAAGACAGTGGGATGCAAGTGGGTGTACTCATTGAAATACAGGTCAGATGGAACTGTGGATAGGTATAAAGCTAGATTGGTTGCCAAATGATACACACAAACTTATGGGATTGACTACCAGGAAACTTTTGCTCCAGTAGCTAAGATGAATACCGTTAGAGTCATCCTATCTCTAGCGGTCAATCTTGATTGGCCATTGAGGCAATTTGATGTTAAAAATGCATTCCTTCACGGTGATCTGACAGAGGAAGTGTATATGGATCCTCCTCCTGGCTACACTCCTCCAGGGGGTCATGTGTGTAAATTGAAAAAGGCCATTTATGGGCTAAAACAATCACCAAGGGCGTGGTTTGGAAGATTGAGTTGTTCAATGAAAGAGTATGGCTTTAAACAGGTCTTGGCTGATTATACCCTATTTTATAAGAAAGATGGTCATGATATTACTATGCTCATTGTATATGTGGATGATATGATCGTTACTGGCAGTAATCCCAGTGAGATTGAGAAACTTCGAAACCATTTGACAAAGGAGTTCGAAATGAAGGACTTGGGTACTTTGAAGTACTTCTTGGGCATTGAGGTATCACGTTCTCAGCAAGGACTTATCCTATCTCAACGCAAGTATGTCCTTGATCTTCTAGCAGAAACTGGTATGTCGGCTTGTGTCCCTGTTGACACACCTATTGAGGTAAATTATGGTCTATCTATTTATCCGGATCAAATTCCCACAAACAAAGAGAGATACCAGAGATTGGTGGGGAAGTTGATTTATCTAACCCACATAAGACCTGATTTGTCATATGCAGTTAGCGTTGTGAGCCAATTCATGCATAACCCCAGTGAACAACATATGAGTGCAGTTAATCGGATATTGGCATATCTGAAATCCTCTCCAGGCAAGGGCATTTTGTACTCAAAAGTGGGGCATTTAGATATTGTGGGTTACACGGATTCTGATTTTGCTGGATCGAGACTGGATAGAAAATCCACATCAGGATATGTATCGTTTGTTGGGGGCAATCTTGTGACTTGGAGGAATAAGAAACAGAATGTGGTCTCACTATCCAGTGCTGAGGCAAAATATCGAGCATTACATCATGCAATTACCGAGCTTACATGGTTAAAACTTCTTCTTAGTGAACTTGGGTTTGGTCCGGACAAGCCTATGTTACTTTTCTGTGACAACACTGCTGCAATTAAAATTGCAAACAACCCTGTGCAACATGATAGAACAAAACATGTTGAACTGGATAGGAACTACATCAAATATAATCTCGACTCCAAAAATATAGAGGTTCCATACATCAAGAGGGCGGAATAACTGGCTGATATAATGACACATGGAGTTGCCAGTGGTCCATTCTATACAATGACATCCAAGTTGGGCATGCGAGATATCTATGCACCAACTTGAGGGGGAGAGTTGAAATATATATTAATCTTTGTTAGGGACCAACTTTTAGTCTTTGTTGATTGTGAGGGACTATAGTGCAATTTCTCTTTTCTTTTCTTTTCATCCTGTATATACTTGTAATATTCTACCTATCAATATAGAACAGTTTTTTACCTCCTAAATTACGACTGGTTGCCTTAATTATTTTCATTTTAACATAGTTATAGGACTTTTGTTCTGCTGGTCAAGAAGTAATTGGTTATTATTATTATTATTATTTTTAATAATTCGGCTACGTGAAATTTATTTTATTACATCACACGCTTTAACTTGTTCTTGATTTTATTTTATCCACTTTTGCAGGAGCGGTAGTTGAAGCCTTTGTTAGGCTTCACGAAAAAGGCCTTATCTACCAAGGTATGCACTAATTCTGCTTAACAATTTCATAGGCGCTGAACAGAAATTGTCTAGGCACATTTTACACTTGAGTTTTGAGGAGAAAAATATTTTAATTTTTCTCATGGAATTATTTGATTATCAAAACTGATCCTCTCAATCCAAATGCATCAAGTGATGGTCCTCATAGAACACTTCTGTCAACTCTTTACTTTTTATGTCTAATGTTAATATGGTTTAAGTTGATACAGGAAGAAAGAGGAACATAAAATTCTCAATAAAGAAATATGTCAATTCTTCTTTCAAATATTTAAATAACAACATAGGTTGCTAACTAGGTTTTTTTTTTTTCCCCTTTGGATTTTATGCTGATCCATAGCCAAAAACATTTTTTTCTTGATCAAAACTTTTCACTCAGTGTAGGAAAATAGAGTGAGAAAGTTGCTTTTATAATGACTATTTCAACTGAGTTTTTTTTTTCCCCAATGTATTGAAAGTGAAATGATAAAGCAACAAATATTCTATTGTAGGTTCTTACATGGTGAACTGGTCACCAAATTTGCAGACTGCAGTTTCTGACTTGGTAAGTGAAGTGGAACTAGGTCCCATTACTTCTGCTGTTTGTGCTTAAATCTTCTCTCTGGAGATTGATTTCTTGTCTTTAGGAAGTAGAATACTCAGAGGAACCTGGTGCTTTATATTATATCAAGTATCGTGTTGCTGATGGCTCGAGGTATTATCACACATTTTTTTAAACCTTAATTTTAATGAACTTGTAATTGCTGTTGATGTATTTACTTGCAGGATGGTTTCATGTGGTAATGAATTATAATAATATGTTTTTTCCAACCTTATATTGCTGATTTGTCTAAAGCTTAGCTTATGGCATTTGTCTCATCTCTTACATCTTGCTATTTCTTTGTTGGTTTCTTTCTTTCATATTCTATTTTTCTTAAGTAGGTTCTCTAAGTGTTCCACTCTCTCGGTTGTGTGAATATCAATCTTCTATTTACTGTATTCTATTGTTTCTGTAAGTTCACCTTTCTCGTTTTATGCCAATTCAGCATTTTGAAAACTATCAAACTAGTCCCTCGGTCCTTAATATTACCAACTTGGTAGCTGATGATTGATTTTGACATGCTTTCTTCATTCAGACTCTGTATTTGCAGTAATGAATAAGATCACATTAATAAATTGAGTGATATGTTAATTTTGTCTCCGTTTATTTTGTTACGACATTAACTTACATTTTTGAAAGGCTGGAATATAGCTTTTTTTTTTGGCAAATCATCAACTCATCCTTAGTGTGTATTTAGGCTCCACTAGAGGATGATGATGAGGGTTATGATTTCCCAATCATAATATATATGGAACTCACTTGAATACATGGGAAGGGGGCGGGAGCCTGACCTTAAACAAAGCAGCAAAAGTACGAAAAATAGTAAATGAGGAGGTACTACCTCCTTTACAAAGGTAAAGGAGCAAAAGTAAACTATAGCCTTCTAATACTAGGGATACCATATTTGTCAATCTATACTAAGGTGTGTAATCGTTGAGAAAGGTCTAGGGGTCCGTTCTCTTGGAAATGGAATTTCGAACCTACAGTGACAAGTAAGTCAGCTACTTGATTGCCCTCAAGGTATATGTGGGAAATCATGTCTCGATCAAATGAAAGATGATGTTTTATATGTATGAGAGTACCTTGTATAGACCATGGCCCAGTTTCATGAATGATGTAGTAAATAACCAAAGAGGAATTTGTCTCTATCCACAAGTTAGAAAGTCCAAGTCCTCGAGCGAGAAGAATCCCGTTTAGAATAGCTCGTAATTAAGCCTCAAGAATAGGGCAATCACCATATAAAGAAGAGAACACACTGATGCACAGTCGATCTTGGTCACAAATAATGTCCCCACCACTGGAAAATTCGTCCTTAATGTAGTTATTAGTGTTGATCTTGTGGGATCCCACGATAGAGTGCGCTAACAAACTAAGATAGGGGGTGATGGGAAAGGAGGGGTCAAATAGATACGAAACAGTTTGGCGATGCCAAAATTCCCCCGCCAGTGGATATTTCGAAATAAACAACCTAGTAAAGAAATAATGCAATATACCCTCCAAATGATACGACGAGGCTCCATAGCAATGTCCCTGTGCTTTGCATCATTCCTTGCAGTCCAGATAAGCCAAAATATAAACAGAGGAATGATAGTGCAAATGTGGCCACTTCGAACAAACTATCTCGAGAATCCCCATCTCTGAAAGCACTGATAAACTCTCTTACCTACTAGTAGAGGTATTTGGAATAAGCCAGCAAAGTGATGCCAAACCTGGTTCGATATGCTAATGCCTGTGAATAAGTGTGGAATGGTCTCAATCTCCTTGTAGAATTGGCAACGAGAGGCCAAAGACAACCAATTTGTCGTTGACTGGACACATCGATTGGTAATAGCCCTTGCCACAATCGCCAACACAAAAAGGAGATTGTCGTAGGTATGATGGCATTCCATAATATCCGGTACCTGTCTTGAATAAAGTTGCTCGAGTTAACAGGCTGCCATGCATACTTGGTAGCAAATTTGCCATTCGGTGTGTCTCTTAGCATATATGATCAGGTACCTTAGAACATAGGAACATAGGGGTATTCTCCCTATACTCTCAACCAGTGGGTGGAAGCACCTGAAGTAAGCTATCGAAACTCCATCTAGAGTCGTCGGAGAAATCGTGAACCCGAATGATGTTGACGAGGAAATAAGGATGCTAAGGTAGAATTACCAATCCAGCAGTCGTGCCAAAGGAACATGTGTTCAGCTCCAAGAAGCCAAGCAATGTATGTCTCCACCTGTAGGCTAAATTGTTTAAATATCTTCATGTCAGTGACGCTGAGTGAGGAATAGGAGCAAGAAGAGGGTGAGTGTCCCTGCAATATTTGTCCAGAATGAACTGAGCCCATAAAGATCGTTGGGTACTGAACAACCACTAAAGCTCCAGAGAGAATGTATCAACAATGTCCTGAAGTCTTCTAAAGTCCAGACCACCTCATCAGTTGGTCTGCAAAGCTCCTTCCATCTCCTCTAATGTAGTTTGTGTGCATGATCCTTAGCCCTTGTTTGGGCTCCATTAAAATCAAATTTTGGGAAAAATGTATTTTGGAATAGTGATTTTTTAAGAATGCGTGGTTAAAAAATAAGAATTTTTTTTGGATTTACGTGTAATATTATTTTATTAGAAAATAAGTGGTTGAAAATAAGAGAGAAAAATACATCTTTAAAATAATGGAGCCCAAACAAGGGCTTAGAGTCCTAGAGGAATCTAACAAAAATGCTCTTCAACCTCGTGAGTACGGCTTTAGGAGGCTGCATTATCTGAAAAAGATAAGAGGAATGGAGGATAAGACATACCTTATCAGTGTAGCCAGTTTGCCATAAAATAAGAGTCTATGTGCCCATCTAGAAATCTTGTTCTTGACCTTCTTTAGGAAGATCTGCTTAGCCCCTTTGAATAAAGGAACGCCCAGATAGGTGAATGGTTGTTGATGTTGGAATCCAGTCGCTCAAGTCTTCTAATTTGGGCGGTGGATGCCTTACGAGGCAAAATGAGTCTACTCTTATCTCAGTTCACCAACTGGCAATTCAAGTCCTCATAGTGTTCCAAGCAATTAAGCAATCTCTGAATATGTCTGTATCCCATGCTAGGATAAGTCTGGAATTGATGAGTGAGTAATTGAGAGTAGTCTGCAGCTATGATAAAAAAGAGATGGTGAGATAGGGTCCTCCCTCCCCGTCTCTTTTCCCAAACAAAATAGAGAATGAATAAATGCATAAAAGAAAAGAACAAATAGAGAGAAATTGAAGCAAAAACATTTTTATATACATGAGACGCTCGTGCCAATTTCAATTTTTTCTTTGACTTTATTATATATGTAACAGAGTTCCTGATTTTGGAGTAATGCATGTTAAATATAAAGAATATTCAACTCTCTCAATATGTGCCTTTGTCTGCTACTGCCACTAAAATGTTCTATGTTAGGATGTTGCCTGCTTTTTCCTCATTATAGCATCATCATCTAGAGAAGAGAAAACGTGGCTGTTATGATGTCTAAATGCACTTGCTTTTTTACTTTGCAAAGCAGTTGAAAATATCCTGTATGATATTTTATGTCACTTGAAATCCTTGATAGGTAGTTATGAAAGAATTCATAGAAAGAGGAAAAGAATGGAGTACCAGAGGGGAAAACTTGAATGCACCTTACAATTAAAGTATAGGTGCATTAAAAGATCTGCCAAAAAATATAATATGAAATCATATATTTAATCCATTTTGAATGCTTGTGAAAATTGAACCCCGAAGAAGTCCTTTTTTCTCCAAGTGTCTATGCACAATTATCTGTCCTTCCCTTTACAGGAGCGACTTCTTAACAATTGCTACCACGCGCCCAGAGACTTTATTTGGGGATACGGCTATTGCAGTGAATCCCAAGGTACATTTGTTTGTTTCCGACTAAGCTAGACTTTAGTTGACCACAAATTCTTTTATGTTTTCCTCTAACTTGTTTGTTGTCTTCACTTTTTCCTTGGGAAATGATTTATCTTATGGTAAGGGAGTAAACACTTCTTCTTATGCCAGGACTTGCTAAAGGTTTTGTTGTTTACTTGGTTTGAATCTATCATTCACAGAATTATATACGATGTTGAAGACAATTTAAATAACTTTGTTGATGCTTGTAATTTATCCAATCTTCTGTAGTAGCTTTTGTTGGTTCTAATAAGATAAGGGGTAACATTTATTTTCCTGAATAGTTTCATTGATATTTTCTTATTGCTGTTTTCTAGGACGAACGCTATTCTAAGTACATAGGGAAGCAGGCTATCGTCCCGATGACTTATGGCCGGCATGTTCCCATTATTTCAGACAAGGTAAAACAGCAGTTGCCATGTTGATCATTCTCTCTGTTGACATTAACACAGTGCGGCCTTACATGTGGATTAGTATTTAGAAGTGTTGGATTCTCAAGGTGCAACAATATGGATTTATGATCTATCTATGCTATTAAATGTTTTGACATACTGACATGTTCCTTGGTGTTGACGTGTTGTTTGTCACAATTGTTCTCAATCGTTGTAGAACAATTTGACACTAGCCATTCATCATTTTTTCGTGGCCATAATTGATGTTTTTCTACATGGTTTAGTTGCAAAATGTAATTAGAACTCCAAATTTCACCTACATCCCATGCATCCACACAGACACATTCTTAGATTTTTAATCAAAGAATTGAGTATAAGATTTTGTTGTCTGGGGCATGTAATAGCTGACGTCACAACCTTTGGGTCCATTACTAGAAACGAGTGAAATATGTTTCAAATGTTTTAAAAAAGACGACCTTGTTTATATTTCTAAATGCACCATGTTCTTTTGTTTCTGCTTTAACAACTTTGGAAACAAAATGCAAAAAGCAAAATAACAGGGTTTCCACACATCCCCCCAGATGTCAACAAACCTGTTATAGTTGATTATTCTATGTGACAGCGATCTTCATACGATTTCTTTTGTGCCAGGAAGAAAAGGCTCCAATACTGCATGCTTTCAGTTTCTATACGTATAATATCCACTTGTCTCTTTCTTTTTGTCAACTGTTGAGATTAATTTTAGACGTGTCTTGCTTATTACGAATGGATATCCTATATCTAAATATACCACGTCTTATTGATATGGAAGTATGTAGATAAAGACTTTGGAACTGGTGTCTTGAAGATAAGCCCTGGCCATGATCACAATGACTACCTTCTTGCTCGGAAACTTGGTCTTCCCATTCTTAATGTGATGAATAAAGACGGGACGCTTAATGAAGTTGCTGGATTATACTGGTATGGCTTAAAAGTTTGGGATATCAAAAAATTGAAGACTGGTGAAGGATTCTATGTTCTGCCTAATGATTTATAGTTGCACTAAAAAAATCAGTGGTCTTGATCGATTTGAGGCACGAAAGAAACTTTGGTCCGATCTCGAGGAAACAGGGTTGGCAGTTAAAAAGGAGGCCCACACTCTTAGAGTTCCTAGGTCCCAACGTGGTGGAGAAGTGCGGTTTCTATTTCTTTACTCGTTCAAATTTTGATAATGAACTTTGCTTAATGAAGCTTTTTGGTTAACCTTTTATCATTAACATTTTTCTTCTTATTAGATAATAGAGCCTCTAGTAAGCAAGCAATGGTTTGTGACAATGGAGCCCTTGGCTGAGAAGGCCCTTCAAGCAGTTGACAAAGGAGAAATAACCATCGTTCCTGAAAGATTTGAGAAGGTAAGGGCATTTAGAGATTTCTTTCACCCACTTCATTTGGGCTCTTTTGACTTCCTTTTGTCTTTCCTATTGGTGCAATGCCTGTCTTTATTTCATATTTAACTAGCTTCTGAAGCTTAATATTTTGTGGTTATTGCCTCAACATTAAATTTGAGCATTCCTTAGGCAAATTCTTGAGCAGAGGGCGTGTTATTTACCAAGTACTAGACCGTACTATGAATAAAACTTTAACGATTTCTCTTTTAATATTTGTCTAGTGTTGTCAAATTCACCAGACTAGACATGCCATCAATGTCGTCTTATACAGTATTTTTACGCAATTGGTTTTTCGCAGATTTTCTTAACTTTAGTTTTTTTAAAGAGCCCGTAGATTCCTATTTCGCTAACATGTTTACGCTTGCTCTTAGATATATAATCACTGGCTATCAAATATCAAGGATTGGTGTATAAGCAGACAACTATGGTGGGGACACCGCATACCAGTTTGGTACATTGTGGGCAAAGACTGTGAAGAGGAATACATAGTTGCTAGGAGCACAGAAGAAGCTATTGAAAAAGCTCACAAGAAGTATGGGAAAAATGTTGAAATCTATCAGGATCCAGATGTTCTTGACACCTGGTTTTCAAGGTTTGTTGCTTCAAATATTTATTCAGATTCTTCTTTCCGGAAATCTTCGAATATCACATTTGTTTTCACACTTTTTACCTTCTTTTTGCTGTACTACATAAAGAATTTTGTCTTGGAAAATCATGTGGAAACATTTGATATGTAACACACACTGACATTATTCTTTGAACTTCTGCTGGAAACACTTTCAATGGTTGTTATTCTTGGTTACCATGAGATAGAACATCATTAGCTGTCAAAATGTTTGGGGATTATACTACCATGCGATGAACATTATTTATTATCAAGCAATAAATTATTTAGTTGTATTGCAGAAGCTGGAATGACCAGCTATTCAGGTTTGTAGTTGTGTTATGTATGGTTTTAGCGAATTAGAACTGTTTGTACAATTAATGGAAAAAATTATAAGAGATGACATACAGTCGATCACTTTATCACTAATACAAATTTTAATTAAGCATCTACCAGTCTCTTATAAATATTAGGTTTCGAGAAAAACAAAGAGATGAGACTTGGCAGAAAAATTTAAAAGTTCTTTATACGTAAGTGATAATTTAGATCCCCTACCCAAGGAAATATTCTCATTTCTTGTCTCAATGCTGTTTCTCCATCCCATCATAGTCATTGCAGCAATTTCTATATGTAGAATTGGTTGATGATGTGGTGACGTCTTTCAGATATAACCTGGTGGGTTCGACTGAAAAACCTCTTTCACTTCCAAGGCCTTCCTGTTCCACATGGCTATCTCAAACATTTAGAGTGAAAGAAATACTTGTATATTATCATAATGTTGGAAAGAGCTCTTTACACAGCACCCTTTATTGTGTAATGAAACTTTTATCGTCAAGAAGCTCTCATGGTTTTATTAGAGTCGACGAGCTGAATGCTGGGCACCTCCACTATAGTAAGGCAGAAAAAGTATGTGGAATTGCTTGTGTTGGTTCTGTTCATGGTTCACTGGAGCTTATTAATGCTTACCAAAAATAATCCATTTTGAGCTGGTTAGAGTGAGGAGGAGGAAAGAGTCTAACTACATGTTGGGAATATGACAGAAGCCAATATGGGGATGTTGAACGCTCTAGAGATTTAAGCTGATTAGAAATTAATTTTTATTTTCCTTCTTACTTCACTTTTGTACTTCTGAAATTCGTTGGTTTTCATATACTGATACAAACAGTGGCTGGAATTTTTATCCTGATTTGGAGTTTGACACCTGCATGCTTTCCTGTCCACATTATGGATCATAATATTTGTATGACCACAAAAATACTACAATTAAATCCATTCTATTTGATTTTTTATCAGTGCTCTATGGCCTTTCAGCACTCTTGGTTGGCCAGATGTGTTGGCAGAGGATTTTAAGCGGTTCTATCCAACATCAGTTCTTGAAACTGGGTATTTTCTTTTTGACTTGTGCATTTTCCTATGTATTCTTTATCTCTGAAGATACTGCCATATTTGGAGCGCACTTTATTTACTTGAGGACAGAGCCCTGTTAGGTGCCTTTTTTTTTGTTGAGAGAATCAATTAGGCATCTCAAGTATCAATCACAGCATTAATGCATACTGTTGGATTAACATTAAGTTATGCTGTCATTACCATCTCATTATATTCATCCCTTGTTTGGTTCCCATTTTTTCTAAAATACATTTTTCTCTCTCTTATTTTCAACCATGCATTCTTCAATAAAATAATATTACACGCAAACCCAAACTTTTCTTTATTTTTTAACCACATATTTTTCATCAAAATACTATCCCAAAATGCATTTTGAGCAAAAAATGGGCTCAAACAGGCTCTTAACTCATTGGGAAAAGGTGATGCATGAAGAAGAGTTATGATATTGGATATTCAAATACTTAAGTTTTTGGTGTTTATCCTTAGGAATGTTGATGTAATTATGTCCTGCTTCACTGTAGCATTATTTCCTCTTTTTATTATTGTGGCGTAACTTATATTAAACACCAAGCAGCCTCATTTTGCTTAGCAATGACCTCTAGAAGCTCATAGCAATTTTTACTGGTAACATAATTTGATTTCTCCTCTTTTTTTCAGAAATATTTTAGTAATTATGTAACTTTCTGTACGTGGCTTAAACTGGATGATTCTTAAGATTTTGGTTAAGAGGTGTTAAATGTTAAAAGTAAGAAGTCAGGATCATTTATTTGGTATTAACAGGGAGAAGATATCTTGAGCTTAAATTCATACGACATTATCCGAATCACGCTTCACCTTCATATAATTTTCACTGAAAACCTCTTCGGCAGTAGAGTGTTTGAATAATAGGAGAGGCATCACTGCAAGAAGGAATTCTTCCATCCTTTTTCAACCACAACTACAGTCTATACTATCTGGTACTCCATGTGGCTATTGCCTCGTAACAAGTTAAAGATTATTGGCCAAAGGAATTCTTTTAATTCGCACCTCTTGATATAATAAGTGTGAAGTTTGCATTATATTAAGTTTTTTTGTACTTGGGATAAAGTTTTGTTATGAAATCTTTAATTCCCTTTCGAGCTGAGCTGCACACACTTTCCGTCTTCTGTGAGACTAACCTAAATCCTTCAGGTTGTATGGCAGACTCATTTAGTTTATTGTATAACTCCTTTGTTAATGCAAAACATCATTATTTTTTAGAAGATATCTTTATGAAAGATTGTCAAGTTTGTTGAGTGTGTTAAGATCAATAAAAGCTTCACTATTTGAACAGGCATGACATATTGTTCTTCTGGGTGGCACGAATGGTAATGATGGGAATTGAATTCACCGGGACAGTTCCATTTTCAAATATTTATCTCCATGGACTTATCCGAGATTCTCAAGTGAGTAGATTATATTTCAAGTGATGATGTTGCACTTGGTACCTATGTTTTTGGAAAAATAAAATTGAACAAACCTGTTTTCACATGCCGTAAGCATAGATGTTTGTATATGTAGCTATTTTCTCTTGCTACAAACACTTCTGTCTTGAAGCTTCTGTTTAGTGTTCGTATAGCAATTGTTCAAAAGGTTTGCTTACATATATTATAGTTTGTTGTTCATTTTGTTTTAAACTCTGGATTTGTTTAATATTCTAGATATCATATTGCAATATGATATTGAAACAATGATGATTTTGTAATATTTTATGCTTCATCTACACGTAGTTTGAATTTTTTTAATGATATCTTTGCAAAAGAAACAGTATGGCTAGAAATTTAGTTGAATAAAGTTCTGACCAAGAGGTAAATAAGTGCATGCTTGGTTTAGTTTTATCTACTTTTTTTTCTTAAATGTAAAAAACTTATATTATGACAATAAGGGAAGCCTCACCGATGTAACACAGAAATAGGGAAGAGAAAGAGAAGAAATGGGAGAAAATAGAGAAGAATTTTGGGGAATAAATAATGAATATTAAATCAATAATCAAGTCTAGTCACAAATGAAATCCTACATCCTATTTATAAAGTAAAGATCTTAAATTTAAATTAACTTTTAGTAAATAACTACTCAAATAATAAATCCTATATAATAAAATTACTTCATCTTATTCAAATCGAACTATATCTTCAACCTTGTCTTCTTCAATATCTCCTATCCTTATTCCCCATTACTAATGGTCAAAATAAGTAATTTACCAGTAAATATCCGTTACTAATTTAACAAAATTATTACAAACATGTCCTATCTGTAATCTTATAAAATATATAGTCTTGAAAAACTAATTTGTATATTTTTAGACTACTAATTTTAAAATAATTGTACAGTTAATTTAAAATATTCAAAAATTATAATTTGATATTAACAATTTGGAAAAATATATCATTTGTAATTTGAAATAATAAATTCATAGCATAATTTATAGTAGAAGTTTCTTTGAAGTCTGCTAATGAGGTAACTAATTTTGAAGTTTTGAGTTCCCTCTTGGAAGGACCTTAAATGACTGTCTGAATCAACAGTCAATACAAACAGGCTTGTACTTGTATGATTTATTTATTTATTTTTTATTTTTTGTTCACCCACTGTTGCAACCTGTGCTGAATACTTTTATCACAAAATTATTTTTTCTTCTATTCCTTTTTCTTGTATATAATATGATTTCAGATTAATTTTACTTGTATTTTCAGGGTAGAAAAATGTCCAAAACATTAGGAAATGTCATAGATCCATTAGATACAATAAAAGAGTATGGAACCGATGCTCTGCGCTTCACTCTTTCTCTGGGAACTGCCGGTCAGGTTCGTGCTTCTTGAAAATATCTTGGTCCCATTGTGCTAAGATTCTTGTTTTAGCTTAAAAAAAATAATAATAAATAAATTGTAATGTTATGCAATTGTTGTGTCCTCATCATTTGAAGGAAAACGTATCACAGAGTAGGGTTGGTGGTTATCTCATGATGTTTTCAATCATCAATGCCTTTGTTGTTGTTGCAGGATCTAAATTTATCAACTGAGAGGTTGACTTCTAACAAAGCATTAACCAACAAATTATGGAATGCTGGCAAGTTTTTGTTACAAAATTTGCCCAGTCAAAGTGATTTATCTGCTTGGGAAGCTATACTGGCGTTTAAGGTCAGATAAAACTCTTGATTTTTCATTACATAATATCTTATAGATGATTGTTGCCCCAGACTTCTATAGGAAGCAACTAAAGTAGTGGAACTAAGAAGGAAGTATGGTAGAAGTTCACCTAAATGACAGAAAGAAAGAAAGATACAACAACCAAATAATGACATACCAGGTTAATCGACTCTGTTGGCCTCTTCATTTGTCTCTCTATAGGGAGGGGGTCCTTCCATCAGAATCTGAATGTCAAAAGAATATTTCACTCGTCTGGCGATTTACCTTTCATCTAAATGTTAGATTTTGTTCCTCTTACCTTTCATCTAAATGTTAGATTTTGTTCCTCTTATGCTGATAGATATCCTCTTCTTAATAAAATATTTCCAAGTTGAGGATCATAGTAGATGCCATCTTGATTCTGGATGCATACTTCTCAGTCCATTGGAAAGTGATACTTGTTAATTACTTCATATTATGCATTTATGTTGGTCACCTTGAGGATGAATATGCCAGGTGGAAATGAAATATGTGCAATTAGTCGAAAAATATGATGGTACTTTGGTAGTACGGCTTCAATTTGCAATATTGGGCTTCTTGTTTTGCATTATCCCAGAGTATTGTTATGTAGTTTCAAGAAATCTGCATATTAATGAAGTAGTTATGTGATTCACAGTTTGACAAGGAGGAGTCTTTACTCAAACTACCTTTACCAGAGTGCTGGGTGGTAAGGATTATTAGTTTAATACATTTATTTATGTCCCCATCATTGCTTCAGTTGGAATTTTAACAAATGACTTGCAGGTATCAAAACTTCATATGCTAATTGATGCAGTCACCACCAGTTATGATAAGTTTTTCTTTGGAGATGTTGGAAGAGAAATATATGATTTCTTTTGGTCTGATTTTGCAGATTGGTATGTTACTATTCAACTTTATGTGTCTTTCTGCCTTTTATGTTTTGCTCCTGCTTTTAGTTGTCTGATTTATACTTATGTTTCCCATTAATGAAGGAATCTGCTTCAGTTTGTCATAGTAAAGGAATGGGCATATTAGTTATGTAAAATTTGTACTAGAAATAAAGTTTTTCGAACGTTGTTATCTAAAAGTTTGCGCAGTTAGAGACGGGACAAATTTATTTGTTTAAATTTTGCATTCAACATAGCTCCTCTTGTGCAAGATAGATTCTTTTTCATCAAAGGTCGGACATGTACACAATTTTCATACATTGGTGGTAGCGAGACTTGAACCAAGGACCTTTGTATGCTCTGATACCATGTTGAGCCGTCTTATCTAAAAGCTTAAACTATTAGTTACATGATAGATTTATTTGATTTTTCTTAAAAAAATATTTTTTTATTTAAATTTTGTCTTCAACAAACCTATAATAGTCGACTTTTTAAATACGAGATTCCTAGGTTCTCAACAAGTTCATTTTGTTTAAGCACTCTATTTCCTTTAATTATATCTTCCCTTTTTTAAAAACCAAAGCTTTCCCCGAGGCTCAGAATGTCTTATATTTTTGCAAGAGAAAGTGTGTTCCTGCCCAGGCTTTTTTTATTATTTTCTCCTTGTCCCTTGCTGCATGATTTGCACCTTTTCATTTTAGGTATATTGAAGCAAGTAAAGCTCGGCTCTATCAATCAGGCGGTCATTCAGTTGCTTTATCACAGGCAGTTCTCTTGTATGTTTTTGAGAACATACTTAAATTACTTCATCCATTTATGCCATTTGTCACCGAAGAGCTCTGGCAGGTATGAAGTCCTTGTTTTCTATTAGGAATTTTCTAAGTGGCTTCTGTTTATGAATGAACTTTTATGAGTTGTGCACTAATTCAATTTTACTATTGAAAGCACTATAATGTACAATTTTTATCGGCCCAAATGGATTGTTTAATTTATTTTGGGATATCACAAAATAAAGTTCAGGGTTTTGAAGTTGCTGATATTGAGAATTTATTTTACTTCACATTCTACCATCCAAGTCTTAGTTGGCTTGATAAACAGATCAATCAAAGGTGTCCTATAGTTTCCCCCAATATATTACAGATTATTTTGATACAGGCATTACCATATCGAGAACAAGCTCTTATAATATCTGCTTGGCCATCAACATCACTCCCAAGGCAAGCCGAATCTGTGAAAAAATTTGAGAACTTACAGGCTTTGGTGAGTCTTCATGGTTCATTCTTGCTTATTTTTGATATGTAGATGGCAAGCAAGTATATGAATTTTTGTGGGATTTAAATGACTCATGATATTTTCTCTTCTTCTCATTAAATAGATAAGAGCAATTCGAAATGCACGAGCAGAATACTCTGTTGAGCCAGGACGGCGTATATCTGCTTCAGTTGTTGCAAATTCAGAAGTCCTACAGTATATATCCGTAAGTTGGCGAGTTCACGAATCACTTCCTCTAGTCCTCGGCTTTGATTGTCCTCAGCTTTATGTATATGTATTCTGCTTCAATAATACCTGTATTCTTGTTTTGCAACTTGAAAATAAATTTGATGAAGTTGATTACTCTCATAGATGTTATTTTGTTCATTTGATTCAAACTATATATGCAAGCCAATTAAGAGCATCTCCAAGAGATTCTTTATTTATAAAGAGCATTTTATGTATTATTAAAGAGCATTTTATGTATTATAGAGAGCATCTTTAAATTGAGAGGTTCAAAATTTTTGTACACTCCAACAAGCTCGCTATTTTGGCAGGCATTTTGCTTGTCTCAAGAAACATTTATTGATTTCTCTTCATATTTTATTTATCATATTTTTTTATATGTCAATTGACCAATCAATTTAGATGTGGTTTAAATAGTTTAAGAAGTGTAGTATTGAAATGTATGATTTATTAAATGCAATTATTGTACATTAATAATAGAGAGTGAATTTGGCTCACTAAATCTGGATAGTCAAACTCACTATTTATTTTAAAAAGTTAAAATAGAGAGTCTCTTGGAGATGCTCTAAATAAAATATTGCGATTACCAGAATCATTCTTATAAAAAACAGATGTGCGTTCTACAAGAAGGACCCACTACTTAGGACAATGTTATGGTTTTCTTACATACATTTGACGTTTCTTTTGAACATGGGAAGAAACTCTCTGGAATTAATCCTATCCTTTAGGACCTTAAATTGACATGAAACACAGTAGGAAATTGCTAATCATCTGCTGATAGTTTCATTTTAAGATTGTATGATTGTTGTCTTGCTCTCTCTTAAGTAATTTTGACATGTCTCAATTACACAAACAGCTAGAAGTTTAATGTTCCATATATTATTACTCAAAAGCACCTAAGCAAGTCAATGGACCAGAATTTGATTATATTCATTTGTATGAGGAGACATTATCTGGCACTTATGTCATGATGCAGAAAGAGAAGGAAGTTATGGCTCTCCTGTCCAAACTAGATTTACAGAACGTCACTTTCGCGGAATCTCCCCCTGGTATGTTCATCGGGAATTTACCTTTTCTTGGTCAAGACAGGTTATTTATTTTTGGCATGAATATTTCTTTAACATTTTCTCATGTTGGAATCGTTTAGACTTGGTATGATCATTGCCCATCTTTGATGTCTAATAGATAAGAGATGATATGCAGGAGACGCCAATCAATCAGTCCATCTCGTTGCGAGTGAAGGTTTGGAGGCTTATCTTCCTCTTGCTGACATGGTGGATATATCTGCTGAAGTCCAGCGCCTTACCAAGCGTCTTGCCAAAATGCAAACTGAATATGATGGACTTATGGCTCGCTTAAGTTCTCCTAGTGTGAGCAGTAGTCTGAATAATTTAATTTCTTATCATTGTTTGGGGCAAATGCAGAACAAAAAGATCAGTCCAGCTTCTATATAAATATATGAATGTTAGAAAGAAAGAAAACTTGAATAAAGGAAAAAATGGAAGCTTTAGTCTAATCTAGTTCTGACATTAACACACTCTTGTGGGCATCAATTTTCTTTATCTGAGTTCTTTTCTGCCTGCCTGCAGTCAGCTATGATCTCACAATTCCCGTTTCACTTTTAACAGTTTACAGAGAAAGCTCCTGAGGAAATTGTTCGCGGGGTTCGAGAAAAAGCAGCAGAAGCAGAGGAGAAATTAACGCTAACCAGAAATCGCCTAGCTTTCCTTCAATCCACAGTTTTGGTGTCAAAATGAATTTTTAGTAGCCAGCTGATACAATTTATCCAAATACCCATGTCCGATGATCCTCCATGCAATGTATTCGACCGTGACGTTGCTTTCAGGTGGACGCCTCGAATTGTCTGAATTTTTCACGCTCTTCACTACACAGCCATGAGATGGAAAAAGGATGTGGCTACGTTGATGTACAGACCTATATTTGTGAACTAAGTGTCGAATAAATTTTCGTCCATCTTGTTATTTATTTATCCTTTTTGCCTAGGTAAAGTAACATCATAAATTGGTTAACGGAAAATTTACACAAGTGTCTGTATGAATACCTCAATAAATACCAGATATTGAACAATCTGAAAGTTTCCATAATTTTCGCAGTTGCTTTTTCATCTTTATTTGACAAATACTCTTAAAAGTTAATTGTAATTAAGTGAAGTTTGACAAAGAATATGTGGTGGTTGATGATAATTCAATCCTGGCCACATAAGTTTCAAAAGTGAGTAGAACAGGACACACTTTATGAACAAATGTGTCGATTCTCGATTGGATGTCATTTAGAGACATGCCCTTAAATTCTATGAACCTCAAAACTATTCTACATAAATTCTTCCTTATTCCATCAAAAACTGCCCCTTTGCATATTGCCTGAACGAGAAGGAGAAGAAGAAGATGGGAAAATTCTGTTGCGATACAGTCGACGACGACTCATCGTCGTCACCCCTCCTAGGATTGATTATTGCTTTGGTCATAGCAATGGCACTTTTCATCCTATGCAAACCTACTCCAGTAAGAAGAAGATGTATTGTTCATCATCATTGTTAGCCAAAATCGCAGTGTGTGTTAAAAGGGTCGACTTGCAGTCCAATCTCGATCGACTTGTAACTCAACTTCAACCTCGATCGATGACCTATGTTTCAAGATATCCATCTCTGTAGGCCTTTTTTTATTATTATGTTTCCTCAATCCTTTGATGTCTGCTCATGTAATTTGGGCATTTTTGTCTGTTGAATTTCTACGTGAAAGTTGCGAGTGGGTTATCGACTATTTTTGGCATTCTTGTAGTTCTGGTACTCCCACCAGATCTCTATAAATTCAGTGATAAATGAAAAATAATTCGTTCTTGTTTTGAGTTATTTTTATTTAAAAGTAATTCATTCCTTTTATTTCTCTATTTGCAATCTAACACTATTTATAAGCTATTGATAGATACAGACTCATAGAAGGAAAAAGGAGGAGTAAATAATAAAAAAGCTACAAGGACTTGAGCTCTCTCAAGTCTCCACTTTATTTTCTCATTAAAACCGAACCTAAAAAGGTACTCCAGAAACTTGTCGGTGCACCTATAGAAATATGTTTTAAGTATTATCCTTTTATTTTTTTAAATTATGATTTTAATTGAAAAATATAAAAATAAAATCTGCATGTGGGACGGCATGAAAAATTTTGTCTTTTAAACGTGTCTTTATTTCAAAAATTTACGACAGCTTATTACCACAAAACGTCTTTACGTTTAAATTTTTTGCATTTTCACGTTTCATTGTAGAAAACGTCATTTTCATCCATTTTTATCCAATTTTTCAATTAAAAATTATTAAATGACAAATATACACTCATATTTAAAAAAAACAAAAATGAAATGAAAGGAAAATAAATAACAAATTACAATCACTCCCAATTTTTTCAAAAGGGTACAAATAAATCACAAATATATTTAATTAAAAAGTCAAAAAAGAAAAAAATCATCTTCTTCTTTTCCTTTCTCCCACCCCCCATCGGGATACTTTTAAGATTGCCTTTGTCAAACATGCCAATTTTCACTTTGCCCAAAATTCCTTGACATTCACCACAATAACCTTAAAATGCTTAAAAGACAAAATTACCCTCAAAATGTTATACAATTACAAAAATATGGTATTATTTAAAAGACAATAATACCATTTTTAAGTTATAAAGAATTCCAAACACTTCCCACTTAAAATTTCAAAATCAAATCACTTTCTTTATCTATTTACTCTAACACAAGTAAAAATAATTTCATTTTTCATCTGCTTTAAACTTGAAAACAGATAATTTATCAAACGCTCAATAAGGAAATATTATTCATAACCATCAGTGAAATCAGTAATTATATTTACGTATTTTAATTTTCGTTTCGATAAAATTAGTACAATATTTTAATCTTTAAATCTTATTTCGACATAAGTATATGAAAATTTTATGATCTTAAATGGATTTATAATCATTTTTAACAAAAACGAGAAAAAAACTCATCTGTATGTATAATTTTAGACAAATTTACGATAGTCTGTAAAATGATCAACCGACATCCTGACGGCCCGCCCGTCCGGATCCAGACTGCCCAGAGTCTGGGCCCGTCAAGATCCGACGCACCTTGTAGTATTTTTTGGCCATAACTTTTCCTCCTAATGTCCGATTGAGATGATTCAAGATGGATTGGAAAGCTAACTCAATGGGCTACAACTTTGCTTCAGATACCATCTTCGAATTCAATCGTTTTCCATGTCAAAAATTGGTCTCAATATGAGACTGAAAATCGGTGCAAAACTTTTCAACTTGAAAGTTAATATGTGATAACGTTTTGGCTATATTTCATCCATTTGACTCATTTTTCATCCAATTGACCTCTAATACTCTCGAATCTTCATCACGATGTTAGAAACAATGTTAGAATATTGGCACTTTAATCCATGAACTATCACTTTCCTCAATTTTGGTCATTTTCGCTCTTTTCTTCTAATTTCCAACGTATTCTTTCATTCGCTGCCTAAACCAAAATGTAAGTGTACTTAAAACATTTAGGCGTCAATAAATCATGAAAATGCAATAATTAGTGGATGAAAAACGTGATAATTGCACTATTATCACCGCCTATTCTGGCTAATTTCCGCCAATTTACCATTCCTCACTTCATTTCTTTTTTGTTTTACCTCCTCTTTGAATCCAATTTTTATGATCACGCACAACTTCATCTAAGGCTCCAAAATACGTCATTTTCTCCAATGTCTTTAAAATACAAAACGATATGAACACACACATCAAAACGCTCAAAAGTGCTCAAGAACAATCTAAAAACTACAATTTAAAAGGTATTCGTTTAATGAGTTAATTACACTCATCAGTATATTATTAATTATAATTTGTATGTTGCATAATTATTGTCGTTAAATATTCAATTATAATTAAATTGCTTATTTTAATTGTTTATATAATATTTAATAGAATATTACATAAACAATTGAAATATAAAATTTAAATAAACAATTCAAATAAACAATTAAATGAAATAATTTATTTTAAACAAATAATTTAAATCGTGTATTTGAATTGTTTACTTAATATTTAATTGTAAAAGAAGAATTTATAATTAAATTGCATATTTTAATTGTGTATATAAAAAAAATAAAATATTATTTAGTTATAATTAATAGAATATTAAATAAACAATCGAATATTTCATATTTTATTATTTATAACTAAATAATATTTT